AATACATGGATACATACAAGTGTAATTTACAACAAGTAAATTTCGAGATTCTTTTACACGTGTATAACTTCAGTTATAATAAATATTAAATTTTAATATTTTATACATCAATATTTAGTTAATATAATTTGATAATTCTTATTGTACTAAAGTTTTTCTAAGGACAAAATAAGAAAAAAAAAATATTCCCCAGGTGAGGCTCGAACTCACAACCCCGGCATTGCTCACAAAGTTACTGTCTTATAAGTACCGTGCGCTAACCAATTGCGCCACTGGGGATCTGTGGTTTGAGGTCCTTATTGTATTTTATATTATCTTGTATATTAAAATTATTAATTATTTATTATTATAAATAGTACCAACTTTTGTAACAATTTATATTGCTATTCATATTAAAAGACGTTACGTACTTAATTACAGACTAGTAGTAAAATGACATTTATTGCTAAATTAATTTCAGGAAAAACTGCATTTAGTAGTATATGCAAATCTTTCTGTTCATCATCAAATTTATAATTGTAAATATAAATAATAATATTAAATTAATTAATATAATATAACTAGTAAAGTATCAAAATTTTTACTCAAATTTTAATACGATATTTTTATATTTAATTTTAGAATCGATTTTATTCTTATAAAAATTAATGCATCTAATTATCAGTACATCGTAATTGAATATTGTACAATATTTTAATAAACATCTCAACTTTTTTGTATTTCTCCGATTCAGATTTTTTTATTGTTACTTTATTTTATTTAACACGTTCTTATTATATATTTTTATTACATAGGATTATACAATGAATAAATGTGAATGAGGGATATTAGAGGATGATAAAGATGCCTTATAAATAATAAAATTTCAATTAAAAGGATTAAATATTATATATTTTACATATTCTGATCTTCGTAAATTTCAATAGCAGTACATAATTCTGCCCATAGTTCAACTAAATCTTGCTTCTTGAGATTTAGCTTGCAAAATTTTTTAATTAATGGAGTATTTTCTTCAACAAATTCCACGCCTAAAATATTTATAAATAAAGGAAACTTATATATCTATATATGTATACATATATACGCTATTAACAATGTAACTAAATTTATGAAACTGTTATACTAGTACCAAAATCTGTAGCAGTTATTATAAAATGATGATCTATACGACAGGTTCTTTCAACATAATTTAATGTCCATAGATATTTTAGATATATATGGTTTGGATTCTTTGGTGATTTAATATCTAACAAAATTCCACCACCTTCATATTCGCGTTCATAAATATTAGCATAATTATTTTCTTTTAAGGATGTAATAACTTTCTGACGAAAACGATTGCAATAACTATAATCGGATATTCCTGAAATATATAAACAGTCATTTGAAATACTTAATTTAAAACCTTAAAGTAATTTTTCATTGTTAAATTACCAGACATAAGAAAGGATAAATTTTTTAACTTCGAAAAAGATTGAACCCATGATGTTATTTCTGTCAAATAACAAGATTGAAGATTTAAAAAATGACAAGTTATATCAACTATTTCAAAATCAGGATTATTCTAAATAAAAAATAAATAATAATAAATTAAATAAATTTATACTATTACATATATAACTTTTTATAAATTTGTTATATATCAATACTTTTAAATCCACGGTTAACTCTAAATAAAAGTTAATAGTTTTAGAATCTACACTAGTTGTATATTTATAAATCTTATCCTTAATCCAATTTTTTGTAGAATTCTTAAATTTAATTCCAGTTATACGTTGTGATATTTTACATATTTTACGCATTTCATGCCATGAATATTCCTTATCTGAAAAATCTTCTTCTGTAGAGCTTGGCTTTCTGTAAAGATAAATATATTATACAATTTATAATATTAAAAACTATTATATACTTAATAAATAAATAAAATAAATGTAAAATAAAATATAATAGCACCGAGTGGAGGATGTTAATTGTCGAAATTTGACAGTTTCTTCTTCGTATATTTTCTTTTTCAGTAAAGATACTTGTTGAAAAACATCTTGTTTTATTTGCTCTAATTGATCTTCCATTTCTCATTAAAATGTGAACTAAACTAATAAATAACAAAAACAAATTTTAAGTGCAACTTGTACCTATTTAAATTATTATTTACGTTACAGAGTAGCCATCTATCGGGAAGATTAACAATTGATCTATATTAATTGTTGCCAACTTTTAAAAATCATAATCTCTATACAAAGAATCATGTCAATAATTACATTATATTTTAACCAAATCAAATAATACTTAAACCAAAAATTTCTATACAGTTATATATACGTATAAAAAAAAATATTAACTACAGACAAAATACATTATCTAAGAATTAGCATAAAAGTAAATTAATATTATTGGCAAACATTTTACGAAAGAATATTCGCGAGCGAATCAAATTACAAGAAATTTCCTATTTTTTCTCTCTTTCTTTCTTTACTTTAAAGAATTTCAGAAAAATATTTCGTAGACGAAAATATTAATAAATATTGTCAAAGAGGAATACGTCTATTTTATTTAAACGGATTTATAAAAAAAAAAAATAAAGTAACGAAAGAAGATAAACTACATACATAAATACGTATACACTTCCGGCTGAAATGGTACTAATCGTTCGGCCATCTGCCGATGCAGCGTCTAAAGCCACGTCATATTTAGATGCATTAAGAGATTGGTGCACTGTGCGTTTTTATCCTCTGTGTGAAAGAATTAGTGATTAGTAAACGAAGATATGAACATTTTTCGCCTTTTAGGTGACTTATCGCACCTTTTAGCCATTATTATATTGCTATTAAAAATATGGAAAACGCGAAGTTGTGCCGGTTTGTATTCACTTCATTCAGTAATATTCATGATATTAATATTTTTAATACTTACTTTACTAATTTGTTTAACTTTATCTATATATTTTAAATATTTTAATTACATATATATTTATATATATATATATGTAATTTATTTAATACCAAATTAATATTTAGGTATAAGCGGAAAAACGCAAATATTATTTGCAATAGTTTATACGACACGATATCTAGATCTGATAAACACATACATTTCTATCTACAACACTTTAATGAAGATAATTTTTCTCTCGGCATCATTTGCTACGGTGTATCTAATGTATATCAAATTCAAGGCTACATATGATCATAATCATGACACTTTCAGGTATATATATATGTGTATATGTTTATATTTATATATAATATATTTTATCTTTGATATCTTACTATCAATAACTCCAATATTGTTCTCATCATTTTTTATTATAACAAATAACATGTGTAACTTCTATGTTTCAGAATTGAATTTTTGATTATACCTACCTTTGTACTAGCTTTATTGATAAACCATGAACTAACGGTTGTAGAAGTTTTATGGACCTTTAGCATTTATTTGGAATCCTTCGCAATATTGCCACAATTATTTCTTGTTTCCAAAACAAGCGAAGCAGAGAGTATTACCAGTCACTATCTCTTTGCTTTGGGATCATACAGAGGCTTATATTTATTAAATTGGGTTTATCGTTATTATGCAGAAGATCATTATGATTTGATCGCAATTGCCGCCGGTTTGATTCAAACAGTTCTTTATTGTGATTTTTTCTACCTCTATATTACCAAAGTACTGAAAGGCAAAAAGTTACAATTACCTGCTTAACTGTATCTTAATATACTTCTTAGAAAGTATGTTGGGATGGTGATTTGATTTTCAAATTATCTTACATAGCTAATTTTACTGGCGTAACTTAATCCTAACATACTTCCTTGAAAGTACATCAAACTAACTGTCAATCGAAGCATAATAGTCATTTGAATTGTAATTAAAAGTTGGTTATACTTGACAGAACAGAAGTATGCACACGCACACGAGTATGTCTCTCCAAATTTTCTGAAACTCTGAGTTATTCATTATTCATTATTCATTATCACGCATGATCTATGATTGTTCTTTGTAGTATTCATGTTTTCTACATTGTTATTAAATTTTATAAGACATGAGAAATCTTGCATAAAAATATACTCTCAAGCATAAAATCTGCGTGAGACAATTTTTTATTAAAAAGAAGTAATACTTCTGTGACAATGTTAAGCTCCATATAAAGATGAACAAGAAATGAAGTTGAATATTGGATAAGCCAGTCAGAAAACTAGAACTGTAATATTGAAATTGTTTAATTTTTGTTAATTAAATATGAATATTATTATTATAATATTATAAAATAATTTACTTTATTAATTTAAATAAACTATAAGTGATATACAGGTATTTTTTAAATTGCAGCAGAGAAATGTTGTGAACAATAAAAAACAATATCTTGCATTGTAAAATTAAAAGATTAATAATACGTAATAAAATTAAAAAGATTGGTAATACGTGCAATTTAAATGAGCAGATATTAAAATAGAATAACATTCAAAATAATTATTTATTTTTTATTTGTCAATGCCATTTATGAAGATTATTGACTATAAATAGTATCTTATTGAATGAGAAATTGTAAAAAGAAAAAAAGATGCATCAAGATTGGTAATATAATCTTAGAAAAATAAAATATAAAATGAAGATAATGATTAGATTTACATTATTGATTCTTTGTCACGTTGAGCGACCACATCGCAAACCAATATATTTCGCCAAATCTGTAAAATGAATTGCCTCTGCAAGGGTCGTTGATCTACTCGTAATACGTATTATGCCATTTTTGAGACTAGTCTGAGTTACGCTAACAACAAAAGGAATTAAGCACATTTCAATAACTTCTTTTGTATTTGCTAATATTGTTTCAAAACCTTTTGTTCTCAGTATATTATTTAAATAAATAATAAAACGATTTAACTTTTCTGCATCCAAATCCGTATCATTATTTTCTTTTTCAACGGAAAAAGCAACTTTATACGGTGAAATCTTTGGGTGTAACAATATTTGATTAGATTTACCATCTTCGTAACTATCAGAAAGTAATGCTAAACAACCCCAATCTAAGGAAGCAATATGTTCAATCATTTGCACATCGCCAATATCATATTTAGAATTTTTAGTCTGCAAATAGATAAATAAAGTAATAATTTTTTCTAAGTTATATGAATTTGTCATAAATGTTATATTAATAAGGTAATACCTCTAAGAATAGTTTCTGAACATCGTGTTGATAAATAATTGATTCTACAATAATATTACCAAAAGGAAATGATACTTCTATGTCAATGATCTCACGATTTTTGGACTTTCTTGATTCTGTAAGTAGAAATCTTGAAGGATTTTGAGTAAGCTTACGCCACCACATTTTTCGTTCTCTTTGTTTTTTATAAAACAAGTCTTTGGATTGAGAATTATGTACAAATGTAATAGTTTTAGCAATTTTATGAGACGCCACCTTACATTCTTTTGGCAAAATTGATTGATTCCAAGAAGTTTTTGTATCTTCTATTATACCAAGTCCATAAGGTATTTCATTTATATTCATATTATCTAATACTTGTAGATTATGTTTAATCATATCGTTAGTAGTTAGAAAAACATTGTAAGGTGACATAGTAACGCAATGTAAGAACCAATGTGCCTCCAAATTTCTAAGAAGCATATTACCTTGCGATCCATAAATGAATCCATTTTTAGAAAAGTTCATAAACGTTGTACCTATATTTTTTAATACATTATCTATACACATGATTTGTTTTTATGACTTTGCAATGGAGTTATAAAATATTCTTCTTCTAAAACTTGTGCATTTTTCAGAATTTCTTGACGATTATTAATTTCCTTCACTTTATCCTCTCGTAAATATAAATTCTGTTCCTCTAAAGGATTGTACAATGGTTGAATTTCTTCAGGTATATCAATATTTCGTAAACGTTCAGAAAAATTCACAGCTGCTTTTAAGATCGCAATACCATGATCGTTATTATATCCAACTAAGGATAATTTTTCAAGTTTATTTATCGATTCTTCGTTAATAACAGATGTGCAACCAATCTTCGTTTGATCTAATTGTTCTTGCACTGTATTTTCGCAAGTACTTACATATCGAAATGATGCAATTTTAGATCTTAAAAATGATTTACATTTGTATCGATAAAGTTGCAATAACATTCTCATTTATAATCACTTATTATTAATATCAAAAAAAATATTCAAATACACAATTACATTACTACTTATTTTAACAATGCAAATAATAACAACCAACTCGTATTTCAAAAGATTGGACATGCATTGTTGTTATACATAATACAATATGCGTCTACCGTGCCATCTATCATCGATAACAATTATCTGATAATCTTGAATTTTTTCGAAAAAAAAAAAAAAGAAAGAAAATAATAATAATATATATATTTAATCCGAATATAATATCAGGAATAATTGAAAAAATTTTATTTTTATAATGATATGTCTATATATAATTTTAAGTTGCCAAAAGAAAGAGAACGAACAATTCGAATATTATATCTCAATAATTCAACACGAGCGCCACTTTGACACAGCTGAGAGAAACGAAAACTGAAAGTTGTTGAAGATTTTACGCTTTGCAGGAAGATTTGTCCATTTTACAATGGACAATTTTTCTTTCTCTCTTTTATATGCCTTTTTCACTCGTGCTCAAAGGGAACAGCCACGCATCTTCTCCTGTCTTCAGTCAACTCTGTATTTTGCTATCACAATAAACAACTATAGTTTTCTTCACATCTTTTACTGGATACTCTGACATTACCAATTTTCGTCCGCGCACGTCCGGTGCGGCCCGCTAAATATTGTAGCTATTTACAAATTTCCAATTTCAACGAACATTATATTTATAACATTCAACATTTAACATTATTATTTATACAACATATCAAACATTTACTTTGAACAGGATTTAAAAAGAAATTCATAATTATCAATATGTAATAATTAATAATTTTTTTTTTTTTTTTACAAATATATGCAATAGGTCATTCAAGTTTGAATCGAGATAGATAGGATAATGCAATTAAAATTATAAAGTATAAATTTTCATTGGGATTTGTTATTACATTATTTCCATGTTTATTTGGTTCTTTTTTGTTCAGGCTTTTGGAAGATTTATGAGATTTATACGTGATGGACATTTTTTTTGTTCATTTTAACTGACTATGAAAACGCTTTGGGGGAGTTATATATAATGCAAATATTGTTAATTGATATATTCAACAAAATGCTTGTATATTATTATGCAAGCAACGCACGTCGTTTCTTTCTTTTCTTTCTAGTGCACTTCTTTATTCGAATCGTTAATAGTTTACCGTTAATATTACAAGCGTTCGTATTTTTCTTTCCTTTTTTTTTTTTTTAATTTTTTTTTTTTTTTATTTCATATGTATGATTATGCAGCAATTTATTATTGTTCACTGAATCTCTCTACGTTTACCATATATCATAGACTTTTTCATACATTCACATATAAATAATTATCCGACAATGAAACTTTTTGTATTTTTGTATAAAATATTAATAACGCGTTGCATTTATATGAAATATATCAATGTTTCAAATTATAATATCGGTGTGAAAGCAGTAACATAAGATAAACTAATGATTCAAATTTCTAATAATAGCAATATTGCTGAGCGTTAAGATCTCAATAGGATTTTATACTTTCTCGCATGGCACGAAGCAGTATACATTAAGATAAATACTGGGTTCTCACACACTATGCACTTTTATAACATATATATATCTATAATAATATCGAATTTTCTAATACGATTTTATTCTTCATTCCTGAATTCTCTCTTTCTTCCTTGCGCATTTATTCGTCTCATTCATTCATTCATCTTTTTTTTCTCCGCGTACGGCACATGAACTCATGTGTGCGTAAAAAAGAGACTTTTCATCGCATCTTGGTAGTTTTATATAAGTAATGTAGAAGCTTCATTCAGAAATTTATGATTGCTACAATTAATTCTATAACACATCTATCTTTTGTTTCATTTTACAACATAAATAATTTATATTCATTATTTGTCAGTCAATTTCAGTTCTTCTTTAAACTTCGTTTATAATATATCGATTTTCATTAAAACTACTAAATAAAACTGATAATCATTTGTTTGTTTTCATAGTGAGCATTACAAGGTGTTTTGAACTTAAAATATAGATATTATAGTTTCAGTACTCAATGGATGTACACGAGCGCAAATATATCTTAATAGACTTGCAATAAATTTGCGTTAATAATACGCAAATTAAAATTATTATTATTATTATTTACCTCGACTTGTTGAAAAATCACAAGTATTTTTTTAATTACTGTATTGTTAGTTTACTTTATATTGATAAAAGTTTGCAGGAAACATCCTATAGCAACAATAGTTTATCCATACAATCATAACTTCGATAATTATATTAATATAATAAAATGATATAGACAACAATTATATATATATACATTGGATATAATTCATCGTCACTGTGAAATTAACAACTAATGATGTGATCAGGCTAAACACGTTCCTGTATGTTTAGATAGTTAATATCTTAAATCAAACGCAGAGATATAATTTGAACACCTTATTCTTTTTCTCCCTCTCTCTCTCTCTCTCTCTCTTTGGGATATATTTAGAGACCAAAAATTGAATTAAATGACATTCTCATATCATCGTTGTCCTAAGAGTTTACATGCAACTAATATAATTGCATTTATTTATCAAATGTATCTTGAGCAAACTACAAGATATTGACTCCGTTAACAGTGTGTTTAAAGCTAATTACAAAAACTCCTTAAATGGTTAGAAGTTTTAAACGATCATAGATTTATAACATCAGTTCAACCTAATACTAGTATAATTTTTAAAATAGCAAAAACTGTATCAGTTATACAGTATAACTTTATCAGTGCCGTGTTTCTTTACTAATGAATTGCTTATTAACTTTTTCCTTATATGTAATTTTCATTAATAACAGGAAAGGTTACAATAATATAAGAATTTTTTAAGTTATTATTGTTTTAGAAGGTAAACAATGTATACAGTACACATTGTAAATGACTGTGATCAAAAAGATTTCGAAGTATTATCTTGACGTTATTCATTCATTTATAATAACAGTGTACATAAAGAGAATTTTCAACAGGCTTAAAAATCTGCATTAGTTTATATACTGATACGTATATGAATTCTTTCAATATTCATACATCATCTTATTGTCGATCCAATAATATGCCGTTCTATTCTTTTTATATAATTAAATTTAATTGCCTTGTTGAGTCGTGTATATATATGTTGGCTAACGATTTATTAGGACAATATTATTCATATTATTTTAGAATTTATCATTGCAGACTTGCAATTAATTTCATAAGATTTTAATTTAATATATAAGCTGATAAAATACAATGAATAGGAGGAAATAGGAGAAACATTCTCAAATATTTACCATGATTTAAAAATTCAGTGAAAAAGCATTATTATACAAGCCTTTGGTTTCAACAGAAATCACGAGAATTTTCTTCTTTTTAAAGTTGGTTACAGTATAAGTCATATTCACGAAAATATGTGATCCCACAATAACAACAACAATAATAATAATAATAATAATAATATTAATAATAATAAAAATAATAATAGTAATAATAATTGTAAATTAAATATTAGTTACACATATTTCAATACGTAATTTTACGAATAAAAATTCTTCAATTTATCCAAATACATTGTTGGTAATTGGAAATGATATATATATACTTTTTTATCCTTAATTTTTAATGAAAAGTCAATAAGTCATTGAATTTAAAGACATACTAATCGGTAAATCATAGCATAAATTATCGCAATGAAAAATAAAAAGAAATCTTATTTTCCAGATTTGTCTCGTTTACTTAATTCAAGAACAAGAGCTAATTCAGCTTCTTCTTGTTCCTTGAGCCTACGTCTTTCCTCTTCAGTTTTTAGACTTTGCTTAGCTGCCCAAGCAAGCTGTTCGTCTTCTGTTAATGCAAGAGTTGCAGTACCATTCCAAATGTTATCAATGTCATTTTTAGTTTTTTTATCATTAAGATTTAGTTTAACATTTAAATTATGCGCTATTTCCTGTGCCTGCCACTTTCCACTTTTGTCACATTTATTTGAAAATGCTTCATCGATATCAATTGTTTTGGTCGTGTTGCTAGAGAAAGTATCAATTTTAGATGATTTTATATTCCTATTTCGATCAAAAAACGCTTTACCAAAATCAGCATCGAACCCTTTTACCAAGGAATTTGTAGTATTTGATAACGATGTAGATCCAAATCCAAATGGGTCCACTGTGCTCGTTGTAGTATTTTTGTTTGCATTAGAATCTTCTGCCTCATCAGAGAAAGGGTCTGTTATATTAAATGGATCTTCGTATCGGTAATTTCTGAAGGGATCTTCCGTAAAGTCCGGCAGCTTCGTTATTAGTGTCACTGGAGCATGTGGTCGGCTCACTGGTCTGGGTGGCGCTGTTCGATTGAGCGATGATTCCGGCTAAAGCAGGTTTTGTCACTGGTCAGTTTTGTTTTACTGGAAAGTTAGAAGAAATAACGCAAATACCGCTAGTTATTTTTTATCTGCTGGTCCAAGATCCTACTATTATAAAAATAGAAATATTTTTTGAAACAATGATCTTAAAATGTTTGAGTTAAAATTATTTTTAATTTTACGTATATATCAAACTTTTTATTAAATTAACATGGTTCCATAATATAACCCAAACATCTTAAGTGAAAGCATATGTAAAGCATAATTTTTTATATAAGCAAATTATAAGAAAATGTTACGTGTAAGAAAACATATTGTAAATAAATAAATTTGTTGATAATATGCCTCACAAGGCAAGTCGGTGGGTAAACTGAAAATTGTGCAGCTTCTACCTAAATGTAAAACAAATTAAATAATTAATTCTTTTTAACAATGATACATTTCTTATGAAGAATATATCGCTTAAAACATTGAAACAATAAGTTCAGCTATATTTTATAATTCAATAAATAAAATCAAATGTTGATTTATAAAAAAATGTATATGTAATAAATAATAATTATTAAAATTATTTCAATGTTCATAACAACCTTATTCTACAAAACAAGCTTTTCATAAAAATAAAATCATTATACGACATACTAGGAACAATTGATTTAGATAAAAGATAGATCGTGTTTTTGGATATGGATAAAAAGATATACGGAAATACTTAAAGAAATATTGGAAAATTTCAAATAAATGACAATTATGACGTTGCAAAATTAATACAATTATGATATGCAATAAAAAAGATTTTGTATATTATAATTATAAGTTATTATAATACATACCTTTGAATCAAAGTTTGCAAAATCTGCGAATCCTGTAGATGATCCTGTGAAATTACTGATATTATTGTTGTCTCCAACTGGTTGTTGCACGGCAAAAGGATCTGAATTCGCATTTGCAAATGGATCAGGAGTGGGAGATGGAGTAGGAGGAGCTGGAACTGGGGCTGCTCTCAAAGATCCTGTAGGACCTTGCGACGGTCGTGGAGGTGCAGGCCTTGGCGGTGGTTGTTTAGCTTTTTTAGGTGGAAGAGCAGGGCTAGGACTTTCTGGTCGAGGTGGAGCATGAAGATTTGCAAATGGGTCATCTCCGAATGGATCCTTTGTTACCTATATGAAAAAGATTAAGTTTAATAAAAATTAGAACTTTTCTTTTTTATAAAATAATGTACAGTGGAATCCGCTTATTGTGATCATTTCGAGATTAGTAATTTTTTATAAAAATAATCCATTGATAGGAATTTTTGTTATGCACTCATATAAAAGATAAAAATTCTTATCGTTTGTTCTGAAATGTAATTATCCCAATTGATACCAATAGAGACAAAGTTTGATTATAATAGTCAAATCCCACTGTATTAATATTTCAATTTACCGCTGGTGCAGTTACACCAGTTTTCTGGTCATTTCTTTTACTATCTCCGAAAGGATCAAATGGATCTTGCTTGATAGTGTTAGTGTTATCGAATGCAGTAAACGGATCATTAGTAAAATCACCCTAAAAAATAAAGTGCGTTTTTAAAAAATAATAAAGAAATATTTATCACCAAAATTTAATACTTTATATAAATATATAGGAAAATAAATTAATGTAATTTAATTAGAAAAATTACCGTTGCTGATTGTGATGGGAATGTATTTCCAAATGGATCAGGAGTAGACGAAGAAAATGCTTCTTGAGCTTTCTTTGATGAAAAAGCATCTTGACTATCAAATCCATCAAAGACACCAGGTCCATTTGCATTTGTAAATGTATCTACTTTATTTTCTTCATTCACATTTTTAGTTTCTTTTTCATCGTACCTTGTATTATTTAAAAATTAGAGATATATTAATTTCAAACAATTTCAATTTCTTCTTTTTTTTTATATAGAATTTGATAGAAAGTATAAAATAAGATATGCGTAATATATATTATACATACTCTATATCTTCGATCTCTGGATTAAATTGTAGACTAGTATCAGGTACAAGAGTGGCATCTGCTGTAGCAAGCGCAGAATCATAAAGTGCAATAGCATCACTCATTTGCCGCTGCTGTTCTTGCAAATGTGTAATTTTAGCTTTTGCTTGACTAATTTGTAATTGTGTATCTTGCAAGTTTTTCGTAAGCTCATTTAATTGGTCCCTGCTTTTATGCTGTTGTTGCTCTAACTGTTGTTCTTCTTGTCTCAATCCCTCAAGTTCTTGGCGTTTGGAATTGAGTTCTTCCTCCTGAGCACGTAAGACTGACTCTTGTTCTTCAGCTTGTTGTCGTAATTTGTCAACCTAAAGTTCAGAATAAATGAAAATTAATTTCTTTTTTTAAATTTTTTAATTCTTACTTCAATCCACTTTTGTACTATATGTACATAGACGTGGAATATAGAATAATTGTTGAAATTTTGATTCTTTACTAATTTATTTAATATTTAATTTTTAATATAATTAAAAATAATTTAGTATCTACTAATATCCAAGATATTAGTAGTAGACTTTAATCTAAAAATTAACTTAGTTTCTATTTATCTATTCTATAATATTCCTACTGTATTATTTAAGAATTTATAAAGTAATATAATATACGTTTATATATTTTATTAATTGTGAGTTAAGAGACAATAGGCAACAAAAAACGCAACCCCAACATTAATGTATTTCATTCACGTTGTAGTTGTACAGTTTTAAAAAGAGAGAAAGAAGCAAGAGATGAATTCTGACAAAATTGTGACCTATAATCATTAGTATAAATCTGAAATATTGTTTGTTATTTTGTGTATGTTATGAGTATTATATACATAAAACAAAAATATTAAAATAGGAATAAAATATTTTTACTTTTTTTTTTATTAATGATTAGAAGAGTAGAAATCAAAAATGAAATCAAAAAATAATCAAATGAATAACTCGTACTGTAACATAATTAGAATTAATGTTTATAATTTATCAAAAAACGATAACAAAGTTTATCTTTTAAACATTGTCGTGTCTAAAACTGATCGAATTAGTACCTGTCCCTGATCAGAAACGAAAATTTTTGATGTACCTTCTTCTGTTCCTTGCAAATCTTGCTTTCCACTTCATTCAAATCTCTATCTACATCAGCTGTCTACAAGCCAAACAAAAATATAACAAAAACAAATCATAATGAGATAAAAAAAGAAAAAAAAATAAAGAAAAAAGAAAGAAAAGTAATAAAATATAAATTATAATCACTATACACATTAATATGAAATGAGTGACAATACGAGTCGATTATCTTTCGTATCGTTTATTCCTAATATAACCGATTACGTGTGATTATTAATAATTAAAAAAATAATATAACTTAAACATATGGTACAGTAATAATATATAATCATAAAGTATAATGAAATTTAAAAATCAGTATAATTTAGTTTTCTATAAAGGTCATAATTTTTAAGAAGCCAAGCTTAACATTTTACAGCCAAGCTAAAAATTGTCTCTCTTGTTCACTTACCTGTGCTTTTAAGTCATTTAATCTCTTCTGTGCCTCACCCTTCTGATTTTCTAATTGTTTTAAGGTAGCAGCTAATGTGTCCAACTCACTTTGAAGACTTTTTATTTCCCCATTTTTAATCTTAATATCAGCTTCTTTTTGAGCTATATCTTGTTCCATGCTATGTCTTTCTCGTGTAAGCTCCGCTATATCCTTACTTATCATATCTAATTCTGGATTAGAATATCCCGAGATATTATTATTTTCCTGCAGAAGAATAATATTCTAAATAAATGTAATGGATCTTATTAGCTTTATTGTATGGAATTGTACGAAAACAATTGCCAATAAAATAACAAATAACGTTGATAAATCATAAAATTATAATATAATATAATGACAATGTATAACGTATTTGTGATTTGTATGTTATTAACTACAATAAATTTAAGTTCTGATCTTAGAATTTCAAAATTAGGAGAAATATACAATAATAAATACAGTAAGAGATCAATATTATATGTAAATGTTTATACTTTAGATGTTATAAAAACATACCTATTTAATATTTAGGTACAACCAGAATCATAGATACAAATTTAGAATATCCAAGAAGCAATAATAGTCTTAGAGAAATACACAAAGAGCAATGGCTAAAATATTATGTATGTTTAATTAAAGAATATACCCAAATTAAATCACAAAAAATGTTACATCCCGTTGCTCTTATAGTATTGAAAGGAACATCAGTAATGTATGAATAAAAAATAAATATTGAAAAGCTCGAATCTTAATAAAAATTTTCTTATAAATAATTTATAGTTTGAAGTGTAAAATATGTATCTCTCCGTTAATAGTATATGAAGTTAATATCATAGAATGGTATTTTAATAGTAGCAGTAATAATAATGTTACTAATGAATTGATTCAATCCACTCAAAACATATTAATTTCTCAAAACAATAAAAACTTACAAATGTACAACATTCAGGTAAAATATTTTGAAAATAATAAAATATAAAGTAATATAATTTCCTATTATAAAACTTTTAATTTATCTGTTCAGATATTAATTAGATATTTATATATGATAAATGTTACTTTATAATCTAATATTAATTTGTTTATATATATAGTTAAAACAAGATGGCAAGTATTGGTGTCGAATGAAAGATACAATAGGGTCACTATACTATTTACACGTTGATAATGGTTATGAAGGCATAAATATTGTATATCCTGATGCAGTACCAAAAGTAAAGCATGCTGCATCATCAGAAATAATAACAGAATATAACTTAAAAGTGTATACTACATGGATGAATTGGTCTCCATGTTCCAAATGTGATAATGTTGGTATAAAAATTCGTTATGGTTATTGTACTCTTTCTCTATTAGAAAATCCTCTATATCATGCTGGCTCTGGTAGGTATATATACATACAGAGTGACCTATAACTGATGGTACAATCTATGCACTTGACTGAACTTGAATTCCTATAAACTAAAAAACTTGTTCTATAAGTATGAGAATAGAATTGATATAAGAGATATCATCATATTAATGATGTTTCTACAAATATTAGGAAGCACAAAAGTGCTCTCTGAAAGTAAAATAGTAAAATTTATCGAACTGAAACTGAATCAAATGCTCGCTTATACCACCAGTTACAAGATACTCTCTGTATATATAATTTTAATTTTATAAATATAAAATTTCATTAATTTAATAATAATATATAACATTAAGATAAAAACAAATTCAATGAAAATATTAAATATAGAATGGAAACATTACTTTATCTATTTCAAAATAAATTGCCATGTAAATTTAGATATATACCAGATCATATTCGAAAACATATAATTATTAAACAAAGAAAAATTGAAATGATGATTAAATATTGCAAGGTATTGTCTTTTATAATTACATTATTCTTTAACAGTAAAACAGTTAATAAAACAATGTTATTATATCATTATAGAAAAATTGCTCAAATGATGTAGTATTTGAAGTATATAATAAAGCTGGCAAATTAATTGAAAGTGCAAATAATAGTGGTAATATATATTCTATGATTCAAAAAATACCTTCTTTAGTGCCAGAAGTTACAAGAACAATTCTTTATGAAACAATTAATAAGAAAATAGAAATCAAATGTCCTGGGTAAAATAATATTCCTTTTATTAATCTTATTATTTAAGTTTGTATTCTAAATAATATGGAACTCGAATAAGATATTTGTAATATTTTAGAAATCTAAATACAGAAACACCAATAATTTGGAAAGTTGGAACTAAAGAATTACCATTTTTAAAATATCGTTCAAATTCAAAAATGTTTATTGATTCACGAATGCGTATAGTTTTTAAAAAATTAAAATTTGCAGACAGTAATATATATAGGTATTTATTCTCATAATAGACGACAACATTAAAAATGTTTATAGTTATATGTTTATGTTATTTTTTAGTTGCTGGCAAAATAATCAACTTGCAGGAACAGTAAAATTAATAGTGACTGGCGAAATAGAATTAGAATTTAATTATCAGTATATGATGTTTGGTACTATTGCTATTGTTTCTGTATTTACTGTTGTAATTTGGAGAGTGTTAAAGGGCAAGACACGATTTACTAAGCACTAAATGACATTACGAAATTATATTTAAACGGTAAAGAAAGATGTTTCGAAGCACTTACCATGATAAGATCTCCACCTTTTCGCAAAGACGGAGGTACCATTTCAGGTTTTAGAGTCGTTGGTGGATCAATATTTCTAAGTTTTTGCTTTATCAACCACATTGCCAAAGCAAATTGTTCTTTATTTAATTTTCCACTTTGACATGTATCACATAAACCCCTGAAATTATATTTTGAATGGTGTTATAAATGTTATTAAAAGAAACAAAAATATAAGATTATAAGAAATAAAAAATTAGCTAATATGTTTTATAAATTTATCTCACATACCATATATGAGCTAATACAGGTTGTGGAAGTCCACTTTGAAGGAAGACATCTTTAATTTCTAAGCCAGAGACAAATCCATCCATATCCATATCTGCTTGTAAAAACAGTTTATCAGCTGCTATTTGATCTTCGGCTGAAACTACCCAAGGTTTTGCACTAGGCTGCAGATGAAAATACATCGTATTATATTCCAAAAAATGTAAAGTTCTATAGAATTATTATACCAGAAATAAATGGTAAATACCTTCATTGTATCAATTTGACCAGATAAATTTTTGCCTGTTGATATGTTAGGTAACGGTGGAATTGGTGGTGGTGTCATCGTTGGTACAGTCATAGGTACAGGTGATTTAGATACCAGCATAGAAATGTCCTTTCTTTTACCAGGTGGCATTAATTCAGGAGGTAGTACACTTGGTATAGCATACTTTTCTAATGCTTTATACACAAGATGCATAGCCTGTGTAACAATAACTAAAATTACATAGGATGATCCTCTTGAGATATGATTATTAATCTTCAATAGAACTATAAGGGTTATAAAAAAAATTATAATTAAAAAAAAAAGATACTCTTGTTTTTTTATAATTACATTTCTCATTGTTATAGAACGAAATTATCACTAATAAATAATATATTCTTAGATACACAAATTATTTGTTCTCTTTTATATCAATTATATTTAATTATACAGGGTGTCCTGTAACTGATCTCGAAAACAAAACCATGTTCATATAAACAAATGTTATCGTACACTTTTGATTTAATTTTTCTTGTAGAATAATCACTCCCTGCTTGCTTGTATCACCAATTATAAGATACTCTGTATATTAAGATATTAATATCGAAAAGCTATATGCGTGTATATATAAAAATGTATATATACTTGACAAGTTAATATTTTGTAGTAAAATTAAGCATACTCACAACTATAAATTCGTGTCTATCCAGCATACCATCTTTATCCATGTCTGCTAAATCCCATATTTTTCCAAGCGTATCTAAAGGAAGTTTACTGTCCATAAGAACGCCTTTAACTTTATTTCCAGGTATATAGCCATTTGAAGGTTGAAGACTGTCAAACAACTGATCATATTTCGCTCTTTCGTTAGGTTTGATGGACCAGTCTCCATTGTTAATGGATGTTATTATTGGTAATGTATTAGAAACATTTTTTTGTGGTACGATAGAGATATCACCCTACAATATAAATAAGTAAATAAAAAAGAAATAAAATGAAATATCTTTAATTTTAAATAATACTCTTACCATCTTTGGAGGAGGTAATTCTAAATTTAAATTGTTCATGCTTAGTTCATGTCCAGCTTGTACTAATGCACAAAGTTTAAGGGCCACGAAAAGACCAGACTTATCCAATGATCCACGAGATTGTGGATCTGCCATATCCCATATTTTACTGAGAATAACATCGCTCAGTTGAGATTTTTTCAAAAATCTTGCTGCCTCCATCGAACCAATTCGTCCATATCCATTGGGATCAACCTTTACATACATATTATTAGATATAAATATTTTTATATTAATAATTAAAAAAAATAGAATATATATATATATATATATATATTGAAAATTTTAATTATTTAAACTTTTCTAAATATACCTGATTATAATATGCTTCATATATGGCAGTATGGCTTCCAGCCACCTATAAAAATGAAATATTTTATAATGATTAATGGTAATAAATTTTATCAGAAAAAAAATATAAAAAACAATTCATTTGCCAAGTAAAAACAATTATTCGTAAATAGTTACGAACATAATAAACATTATTTACCGGATGCATTCAGAATTTGAAAAAGAAAGTTTTAACAATCGATCGAAATTTGTATCTCCTTAAAAAAGATTGAATTAATTTAACTTATGTATTCTAAATTATATATGTACTTTTCTTATAGTCAAAATAGTTTGGCAAAAAGAAAGTTTGATACATATAGAGAAAAAAAGAAAGAGAGAGAAAATCTAGTAAATTTATTCTCGAACGTTAAAGTATCATCAGTCCTGTCAAACAGGCCAAGGAAATCAATCAGAAGTATTGCTGGATATCTCGTATTATTAAATGATATATTTTGTTAATAGATAAGATATTTTATAAAGAATTATTTTCTATATTATAGGGATAATAAAAGTAATATTATACCGCGATAGATATATAAAAATGAAGATTTACCTGCGTGGGTGATGGCAGGGCGGCCATACTTGCATCGAACACTTACTTAACCAATCAGGCTTTCAATCGATAGCATGTCGTTTTCACCACTTAAATTGGCATTTTGTAAACGAATTTTTATCGCCGGATATGTCGACAAACTCGTAATCACACTTCCTTTCCTACAAACAAAATAAATCACGCGTTGAAGAAAAATTAATACTATACAATGTTCGTTACGTTTTAACCTCTTAACTACGATGAGACTAAATGCGGAGCGGCATCTCTGTGCTCTGAGCTCTGTCGCTGACTGCGCATTAACGACATTAGTATCGAAATCGGTCTTTCATCCTTTTTTCACTATTGATATATTTTTTCACACTTACACTTAAATAAATGTTATAATCGAGTTAATTTTAATATTTTTTATATGTATATTTATATTTAATATATTTTAATAATATAATACGAATAAATATATTTTAATAGTTAATAATACAACTATTATTGTGGGACACATTTGAAAACAGCGAACTACATATAATTTACATAATTGATCTTTTGAATTTAACCGACTCCACAAATAATATGCAAATTTAAAACGTATGAAACCGATACGATAATTTTGGAAAATTAAAACAGACATGTACGTGACTTTATACAAGCAATGAATTTTAATTAAATTACGTTCTATTATTATTCTTCGTGTATAAAAACGTTTTCATGATGTATATATATATATAATATACAACGTTTTAAATAGAAAATGAACAAATGAGCCAATATAGTGGAACACTATAGTGGTGTACAGTGATTAAGAGGTTAAAGGGAAATGATTTTTTGTTTGAAGCAAACTTCAATGATAATTGCAAACCCTTTGCACTTTAGAAATGATCTAGACATAAAAACACCTTTACATAACAATGTATCAATTTCTATGAATGTATATCGATATTAGCTAATGTTATTTTTAGATACATGAATATTTATTCAAAAATAATATTGATTCTTATCGTAATAATTATCCTGATTAGGTGTAGCTTAAAAATTAAATGTTAAATTAAAATTAAATATTATCTTTTGATACTATTTTAAATATTTAAAAATTATTTTTCTATAAAAATGGATTTAAAAACATTCATATAGATTTTTCATATAAATATACTTCATACATCTTTATTGTGCTAGTATATATCAATAACACAATAATATTAACAATCTTTACAGTATCGTAGACAATATAGGAAATGGATTTTGTTTCGATATAACTAATTTTTTATGTTGATGAGATATATATCCTTTTATTTTTCCTTCGTATATTAGGTTTGAAACAATACATTCTGTTTCATCCATGTCAACATCTTCAATGCCATGCATTTCTAATGCTGAAAGTAAACTTTGCACTGGTATCTGATGCGTGTTTAATACAAGATAAACTTTTTTAAATAGATTTCTATAAGCAATTAATTTTAATTTTTCAACAATCAAGTATATTCCAGCACCAATAAAAAATGTTTCGTGCTTCGTCATTACTCTTTCTAAACTACGTAAATCTCCTTTCTTTACGGATTCCACTAGTTCCCAAAATTCCATGAGGTTGTATTTTTCTAATAGAGATTTTTTTGGCATATATCCAAGCAACATTTTAACTGGTACAAGGTAAGTTAAAATTAATGTTTTATTTTTTAGAGAATGCTTATGGCAGTGTTCAAATGCATATGTCAAATACGCATCAGCTAAAATAAAATAAAGAACTTAAAATAAAACAAAATAAATTGATACAATAGTAATTATAATAAAACAAAATTCTTACCAGTTTTGTAATCGCTATCAAACATAGCTTTACGACCAACAAAAAATTTATACGTAATTTGTTGGGCTAATGCAAAATGATCTTTATATGGAGATGATTCTATTGCTCTTATAAGAGGTCTACATAAATGTAATTTATTAATTCTGAAGTAAACTTTTAGAAGCTGGTTAACTAATGCCAACATCCCCCATCTTTTTGTATCATATTCTGAACTGCGATTATCAGCAGCACATACTCTAAAACAACCCATTAAACATTCGGCACATTTTTCAAGAACCTCACCAGGTTTCATATTTCTATTTGTTGTTGAACTTTCCGTACGAACTGCTAATAATCTTAACTCTAAACACATTACATTCATAACTCTTAGCATCCAATTCTCTTCCTTCTGCATTTGAAGAATTTTAGTTAGAGATTGAACTGCCAAACTTTGGTGAGTATACATTGTAAAAGGGTCATCTTTATTTATTGCTGCTATAGTCCTGCCAATAAAAATGTTAATTATTTGTTATTTTATTTTATTTTTATGTAATCATAATAGAAAAAAACTGTTAATACTTTAAATGATAAAGTACTAGATCATCGAAAGGAGCAGATAAATTTTCCATTGCCTTTGTCATAGCTGCTTCTGATCCGATATTAGGTATTAAAATATGATTATGTCTAAGAGAAAGTAGATCCTTTAAAAAATTATTATTATTAATTATGAGATATACTATCATATTTTTTTCAAAACGAATGAGAAATTACTCACTGCTAATACATCTCCATCCTGATTTAGCCACATTCGGCGTAACTAAAATAATATAAATATAACCTTAATGTTATGATTTTTATGTTTAATATTTTTTAATATTTGCGTATTAAAACCTATACATACGTGCATAATATATGAATCCATCGTTATTATTTATAATACAGTTATTTATATATCTATTTTTATAATCAATATTTAAAAAGATATAATAGATCACAATGCATATTGAAATTATTAAACGCACGACATAGCACCTGTCATTTGTCACTGAATACTACCTTGATTTGTTAAGCGTGTACACAACGTCGATATGTTTTTTGTTAAGCATTTCTATTGGTAATTTTACAGAAATGTGATTGGTCAGTTGTACTGATGCGCCCTCTGATTGTAGCATATGTATTTCCGAAAATATCTTAATATAATCTCAATTATTTAAGTAGATGTTGAATAAATCTTGCTTTAATATAATCTATGATATAAATACATTTAAAAATTTGAATTCGTTTAAAACAAAGAAAAGTATCATGAGTTATGTTGCATATGTATATAATTTGTGACTTGTATTTATATTTTTATACGATAGTAAAATAATAGTTAATACGATATTTTTTAAATATAATTCATAATGATACGAAAACCTATACGTACATATCAAAAGAAAAATCTTGCAAATTCATTAATAAAAATTAATGCCTTTGTTAAATCGGATTTAACATCAAAAGCTGACAATATTATTGAAGAACAACATGAAATTGATCATTTTAAGGAAAATATAAAAAGTGAAGACTCATTGTATAATGATCCTTTTGAAACAACATTTGATAGAATTGCTAAAAATGCAGTGTAAGTTCTTAAATCATTATTTGTTTTTTATATAGAATTTTACATACATTGTTTCTTAATATAGAGTACCAGCAATACCACCTGATTGTATTACCAATGACTCGTGGAGTGGTAGTAGTTCTGATATGAATAGCGACGAGGAAAATCGTCAATCTTTATTTCATATTTCATTTGGTAATCCTAATATTGACATTAGTCCAAATGTGAAACGTAAAAGATCTTTAAAAATGCACACGTATCAAAAAAAAGTCCAATCTAAAAATAAAAAAGCATCCATAACAGGAACTTTAAATATATCACAGCATATCAGAAGTATAAAAAAAGTTAAGAAAAAAAATCAGACTAAGGTACTTTTAAACAATTATATTGATTAATATGATTGATGATCATTTACAAAATTGTTGAATGTTTACTCTTATTTCTTTTTAGACTTACAAAAGTAAAAAAGTAAAAAATATTCAAAAAACAAAGAATAAAAAACAAAACGAATCCAACAATACAGGAAATTCGTATTTTGTATTTAAAAACTCTAATCCTCAACTATGTAAGTCGGATATTCTTAATACTGACGTTAATAACCAGACTAATAATGAGAATATTATTAACAATAGTGTTGTCTCTTACAACAGTAGTCAAAGAAATGATATTGATTTATGCAATAAACCACTTAGTCCTTTAAGAGAGATTACTAGTAATACAAAAATTAATGATAGAAAGAAAACATATCATTTAAAGTCTTTTAAAAAAAAGCAAAAGATGAGCCATGAAAATAATGAAAACCTTTCTTTAAAGTCATCAGTATCGCATGATATTCCTGATTCAATGAAGAGCAAGTTTAAAATTAAACCTTGTTCCATAGTACTGCACAAAGATGATATAGAAAAATATAAGTTTATGGTTAATAAACATAATTACAAAATAAAGAAATGTTATGTAAATTTAAAAAAAATATCCAGCAATACTTCTTTAGATAGCGAATATAAATCACCTATGAATGACTTAAAAAATCACTGTAAAAATTTAAACAAATTAAATAATTATTTTAATTCTGAAATAAACCCAATAAGTAGCACGCCTATTAATATACATAAAAGAGAAACTGCATATTCTCTTTGTTATTCACCAATTAAAATTGAGTCTTTAACAAAAAATATTAGTCATAGCGACGAAGATAAAACAGTTTCTATTTCTCATATTCCTGCATCGCTTGATCCATTACAGCCAAACAATTTGCATGTATTAGATCAGACAAATACAAATGTTTTCATCAATGTTAAAACAGATACAAAGGATAAGATTTCATATATGAAAGATAAAAACACATGGAAATCAACATCGAATGATAATTTCTCAATTAGTGATGAACAAAAAAAAGAAATATTACATTTAGGAGATTCTAAACAATGTTCAAATTTTATCAATAATAGAGAAGCATATGCTACAACATTTATAGATGATAGCATTGATATTGCATTAAGACAAAAGAATAATAAAACAGACCAGGAAAATAAACCATTACTGAATCATATAAATTTTTCCATAGAAACACATAGTAGGTCACTTTCTTTATTTGATGATTATGAAAGTAAATTACATACTTCGGAAAATGAAAACAGAATGAGTGCTATAACAAAAAAATCATTTATAAATACGAATGTATGTGAAAGTAATGCCAATACTGAACTAGAGTATAAACCTATTACTTTAGATAAGGATAATATCGAAAAAATAATGAAATCAGAAGTATTAAAGGTAGAAAGAGAAAGTTATTTAATTTTTAATGATGAATATTAGATAGTTTATATTACATAGTTTTTATATTTTAATTTTAGGAAGAAGAACCACCTATAATAATTACAAAAGAAACATCCATTAAGGAATATATTAAAAACGAAGATGAAGATATTGAAGAAATATGTTCTAACAAATCAAAAGATGAAAATCATGTATTCACTCAATTGAAAGATTCCGTACAAATTACTGAAAGAAGACAACGACACGAAAGAAAAAGAAAATACAACCTAAGTAATATTTATGAAAATAAAAGTAATATTAATCGATACTCACAATGTGAAATGAAAAAAGTATTAAGCGAAAAATCACAATTTAATGAGAAATTAAATGAAGACATTTTAAGTGAAAATACTATAAAGAACTCAGCTAATACTTCTGTAAATATTGCTACTTGTTGTGATGAACGAAATTCATTAATCAACAAAGAAATACCTGCTTTTTCAGAAAAGTCTATATTTTTAAAACCAGGAAAATCTTGGGCACGTTCTTTATCCATTTTATGTAACTTTCAAAATGGATTAAATTTAAATAGAATATCTATTGAAAAAGGTAAAAAATGGAGAGATAGTGTTAAGGACATATTAGATATGCAGGAAAAAGGTAACTTTAGTTTAAAATATAAGTATACATACTTTTTCGAGAAAATATTACTTTAAAGAAAAGTCATATAAATAAGATATTGTTAGCTTCATATTACAATTAATGTAATGTATTTATTTACAGACTTTTATTCAAGCTATACAGAAATAGATGAACATTTGGATAAATCTCAATTATCTGTTGAAACAGAAATCAAATTTTCTAAAAAATTAGCCACTGATGTATGTGATACAAATCAGTCTGACAATTCAAAAAGAATTATTAGAAGAACTTCTATTCGTGTCGTGCGTGATAGTAGAATTATCAAAAATGCTAGCGATACTTCATTTCTTGAAGTATATGGAATTGAAACTAATATCTCAAATAGATTTACATTACCAGAAATTAATCGTGATACTGAATACAGTGCTCAATATAATGATATGGAAAGTAATTTTGCAGAAATTCGTTTATCAACAACAGCAAAAGATGTTATTTTACACAAATGTTCTCAAAAAAATTATCTACCATTTAGAAAAATTTTTTCAACATCGTGAGTAAATTTCAAATTATATTATTATTCTTATATTAATATTTTTTACTAATGAATAAAATATTTTTTATTTTTGGTAATAGGTATTTGAAATATTGTCAAAAAATAGGAGAAGGTGTGTACGGAGAAGTATTTCTTTATGAAAAGGGCGGACAAAAATCTGTTTTAAAGATTATACCTATAGAAGGTGATCAATTAGTTAATGGTGAACCACAAAAGAAATTTAATGAAATACTCTCAGAAATCGTTATTGCAAAGTATGGCTCAAATCTTTACTAATTATTTTTATACCATTATATTAGTAAACTTTATTTTAAGTTTATGCTGACAATTTAATATTAATTTCATAATTTTCAGAGAATTACATAATTTAAGATTCAATAAAAATCACAATACAAATGGATTTGTCGAAGTGAAAAATATTAAATGCATTGAAGGAAAGTATCCTGAAGAAATGATAGACTTGTGGAAGAATTATGATCAAGAAAAAGAATCTGATAATGATTGCCCATCAATATTTGATGAAAAGCAACTTTATATTTCTCTTGAACTTGGTCATGGTGGTCAGGATCTTGAATCTTTCGTATTTGAAACAGCTGCAGAAGCACATACATTGTTTATACAGGTATTATTAATAACTTTAAACAAATAAAGAAAAGTCTGATACTTTATATGGAATATATATAATAGCTAGTAATACTTTAATCTTTATTAATAATTAAATATTGTTACCTTTTTTTTATAGGCTACATTAACATTAGCGGTTGCTGAAAGATCACTTAAATTTGAACATAGAGACTTGCATTGGGGGAATGTGCTAATTTCTCGAACGGATGAACAATACATATACTATAAACTCGATAATAAAGAAATTTTAGTTCCAAGTAATGGTATAAAAGTATGTTTTGTTTTTAGAATAAATTTATTATATATTTATAATAATTTCTATACTTATTTACATTGAATACAAAAAAATTGTATTTTTATTTTCCTAAAGGTTTGCATTATAGATTTTACTCTTTCAAGAATGTCATATCAAGGATGTTGCATATTCAATGATTTAGCATTAGATCCTGCATTATTTGCCGCTCAAGGTGAATATCAATTTGAGATTTATCGTCTTATGAAAGATAAAGTACTGTAAGTATATATAAATTAACAGCTTATGTAATAATATAAAAATAATAATAATAATAATAATAATAATAATGATGATAATGATGATAAAATAATGATAGTGTTATTATTTCCAGAAATAATTGGCAAGAATTTGAGCCATACACAAATGTTTTATGGTTACATTACACCCTAGATAAAATGATAACAATGGTAAGATATAAAAAGAAAAAGCTAAAAAAGCATAAAAATGCTATAATTCAACTTAATGATCTAAAACAAATAATATTATCCTATTCAAGTGCTTTTGATCTTGTAAAAAATTGTGAAAAAATATCAAATTTATTAATAGAACGATAAAAAATCGATGGTTTCGCCTTATTAAAAAGCTTAGTTATCGTATGATCGTAATAGTTAAGTAACAATAGGTACGGTTAATACTTAGATAATTGAAACACATATGCCGTTGACTCCAGAGAAACAATAAGATCTTGTAGCTTCTTTGGAAAAATAAGCTATGTAGAAAAGTTCTTCAAATCCATAAAAAGAAAATAATAACAACAATAAAATGATAAAAAGTGTGCAAGAATATTTAAAATAGCATTAGCTACATTAATGTAAAATATACCAATAACGTCCATTGTAAAAAAGTAAAGATTTTATTAACAGAAGTGTATATAAATGTATCCAATACATATTTTATAATAAAAAAAATTAATTATAAATTTTTTTATTCTATAATCTTTTTTTTATTTTAATTGTTTCATTGAATTTACTACATACAGGGTTTAAAGGATTCTATTATTTCATAAAAATGTTCTTTAGAACAGTCTATTGGATATCGAGTACAATACCATTTATCTTTTACTCTATAAGGCTTGACATCAAGATTTATCTGATATAAAACTTTTGATATTAATATTCTCTTTAGAGTCTGCGAATTCAAAATAAATATATAATAAAATAATCAAATAAGGAGAAAGATTATGTTATATACCTTAGCAGTCATATGACCAAGAAAATTTCCAAATATTCGCAAGCTTCTTATGAGAGAAATCTTGTTTAAAGTGTCAAGAATATTTACCATACCGTCATCAGTAATTTTATTAAATGAAATATCTAACAATTTTAGCTTAGAAAATGGCATAGCATGACTTATTATCCTTAAATGAAGAAATAATGTGGTATAAATAATATTTTATACAATAATAAATATTAATAATAAATAATAAGATTAAAATTTTTAAACTTAATCTTGTAGACTTTAGCAAATCATCCTATTACCTTGCACCATGATCAGTTATAATGTTTCCACTTAAAATAAGTCCATGCAACGCAGAAGTTTTTGTAAGCCAATTAGCAAGATGATGCATTCCATGATCTCCTATATTGTTACAACCAAGATCAAGAAAACGTAATGTATGATTATATTGTGCATCTAGCATCATACATTCAATGTCATGGCAATAAAAACTACATTTTTGTAAATGCAATGCAAACAAACAAGTATTATTCTGTATACAAAAAAATATAACCATAGTAAAGTGCGAAAGATGTATAAAGAAATAAATGTTATAAAATATACAAAGTTACTCTTAACATATGTCCAATTAAAATTGCGAATTGTTCTGCATTAAAATAATACATACGTCCTGGATTTGGACGACTGATATCCAAAATGTTTAAAGTTTCATTATGTATAGGCTGGTCTAATCTCATAACTGTTGTAAAATATATCAAACTTGAAATAGTTTGATCAACTTCTGCTACGTCCAAATATTCTAAATATGGATTTTTCAATAACAGTAATGCTATTTGTTTGGAAGACTGTAACAATTATATTTATCTTATATTTAAGATTCATTTAATACAATTATAAAGAAATAGAAACGACAGAAAAAATCACTTCAACACCAAACTTATTCCCGTTTAATTGAAGACTCTTTATGTGTAAATTTTCTCCCATTTCACACATATAATTAATTCCTGCTTCCATTATATTATTATTTTGAATATTCAACTTGTATATATTTTTATATACCTAAAATAATATTCTTATAATATTAAAAATTATTATACTCCAATTTTATTCTATCTTACAAGAAAATAAGTAATCAACATTTTAAAGCCGACACAGGTGATTTGATTGTACGCTAAGTTAAGAGATACAATGTCTTGATTTTGTTTGAGAAATATCAACAAAATCTTTATATCCGAATCTTCTAGTTGTTTACTAGCATTCAAAATATATAAAATTCATAAATGATCAAACATTATCTCTTTAAGAAATATTAACGAGTATTCTTTTTAAAAATACATTCACCCTATTTTAGTAATCAAATCTCTTCCTTTTAATACCAAATTTCTTGTGTTATTTGTATATTTTTTGCAAAAACATGTAAAATATTGTTCGTCGTTTATTAAGTTTTGCTTTATTTTAGACTGAAAAATTATAAAAATTGTTGATCTAAGAAAACATGTCACTGCAAGTATATGTTAATTGTAAATGATACATATAAGTAAGAAATAATTACAATAATATTACCATGTTGTTAATTTGTACAACCATTGAAAATTTTGGCTTAATTATAAATCATATTAATTGTTATTGCGTTCAAAAATCATGTAATATTTTAAATTATATAAAAACTCTGAAGTGTTACTTGTACTTTATAAATCGTTAAATATGCAACATCCTTGACAAGACGTAAATTAAATATTAATTTTACAAATAGAATTAGAGGAAAAATAAAAAAATATATAAAGAGTTATAATAACGTTTTTATATAGCATATAATAAATATGAAATTAGTTAAACAAAACGAGTTACAAAAAGAATATCGATTTAAATTACGCGGGTCATTTACTTACTCTTTGACTCGTATATTAATTTATGTAAACGTTTTATTTTTTGTGCGCATATTATAATGTTTATTTGAAATATAATAACAAAAATTATAACAATGTCATTCATACCAATTAAAACACTAATATTATTCAGTAAATTAAAAGGATATAAATAAAAACTTTCTAAAATATTGGTAACATCTGTGATTATGTAACCACATACTACATATAACTCGGTTTGATAATAGCTATTCGTTAGATTTGACATGAATGTGTTCAACCATTAATACACTTTTAAATATAAAATTTGAAAATGTCAAATGTTTTTGTCAATTATATGTACGATTAATTTTCATTCATCTATCGATCATCATTATTCATCATAACGAATGCAGCGCTTGAGATATTTCAATTTATCTGAACACGAAGTTAATAATAAAATTTAATTTTAAAGGTAAATACGAAATTACGAGTGTAATTTATAAATTTCAAAATATATAGAATTATAAGATATTTGATATGTAATATGTTGATTTAAAATATGATTTTACTGTAAATTTTTAAACTAAAACGGATATAATATCGTTTAAGGTTAGAATTGCATAATTAATTTATGAAAATTGAAATTACTATAAAAACTAAATACATTTTTTCATATTAATCTCCATGAAAATATTTTATATTATTAAAATCATATATAGTATATATAAATATTACTTTTATTTCTTAATTCTAATGTTACTTATATTTTTTACTAATTATAGCTGTATACGTATATAGATTTATATGTATATTATATATATATATATATAAAGATACAAATATAATTGAAATAATGGGCAATACATTGACTACTGCATCTGTATCAGCAGCTGATGTAATTATGCCAATACAGCATAGTAACAATGAACTGACTAAATCTATAATAAAAGAATCAGAAAAACTTCAAAATGTACCTCCACTAGAATGTCCCATGCATATAAAAGCAGATCAGCAGCCACTTAAAACATCTAAGTCGGAATGCCCAATAGATCATATGAGTGAGAATGAAATAAATCCTCTTAACATGGTACGTTTAACGTCTGGTATATAATAAAATTTAATCTAAGTAATAGTTAAAAGAAATTAGTTAAAATTTTCCTGTATTATTATTAATAAAAGAAATTAATATTACAGATGCCAGCTGAAAATCAAAACCCAGCACCAGATCAACCATTTCCTTTGCCAACTGACAGAGAAGTGTCATCTATACCAAAAGCAACTGGTGATGGTGAATTTTGGATTTATCCATCACAACAAATGTTTTGGAATGCTATGTTAAGAAAAGGATGGCGTTGGAAAAATGATGACATAAAACCTAAAGATATGGACGATATTATTAAAATTCATAACACTAATAATGAGCAAGCATGGCAAGAAGTTCTTAAATGGGAAGCGCTTCATGCGCGAGAATGCAATTGTCCCAAGTTACGTAGTTTTGGTGGAAAAGCTAAACAGTATTCACCACGTGCACGCATTCGATATTGGCTAGGGTATGAATATCACTTATTTGAATTAATAGAAATCTTAGAAATTATAATTTTACTTAACACAGACATACTTTTGCAGATATGAATTGCCATTTGATCGTCATGATTGGATCGTTGATAGATGTGGTAAAGATGTACGTTATGTCATTGACTATTATGATGGTGGAGCAGTGGATGAAAAATATAAATTTGCTCTTCTTGATGTAAGACCAGCCATGGACTCTTGGGAAAATATTTGGGACCGTATGAAAGTTACTTGGTGGAGATGGAGATTTAGTAATGAGGCACAAGAACACTCATCTCCAATTCAAATCCATTAAAATGACATTGAAAATTAGATAGAGGTTTTAAATGAATTACATTACAGAAGTTAAAAGAAGATTGTAATGCATTTTCCAACTTCAACAATTGTTAAACAAAAAATCAGCTATACCATAGAAAGTTTACTTTTGTTTTGTTGATTGTATGAAAATTCCTAAACAAAGGCTACGCTTTTAGATAACACTTAAGACAATGCGTGATGAATATGTATTGCGTTCATATTATGATAATATAGTGGAAATAGTAATATTTTTAATTTTATATTTATTTATTGATACCATAAAAAATTAATGAATATGAGATATAATTTACAGATCCTTTTAATTATGTTTAAAAAGTTATCAGATATATACTGCCATCAATTAGACATTAACTTACCAGCAAGTAGCACCTATAAAATGCATGTGCGCACATATACTATACTAACAATATAGAAGAAATGAAGAAACGTCTATCAAACTATCAAATGTAAAACAATATTAAAAGTTAGAAACGTATATGCAAAATTAAATGTTCAATCTTAAAGATTTTGCAGTAATATGTATCAATAATTTAATTTAAATTATATTTAAAAACGTCCCACAATGTGTGCAACACTATGAATGACATGGAATATAATTTGTTTTATAATTATATATTAAATTTTAATTATTATTAATAAAAATCAATAGATGTATTGATTTTTGTAAAATTAAAATAACCTCCATATTCAAGAAATGATTAAGTGAAAGTATTAAAATATAAAAATAATTAATGGCAATTCTATTTCATAAATAATCATATCATTTTATAAAGAAATTATATTTTATCATATTACCAATCATAAAAATAAACTGTGATGTCAATTTTGGTAATATTGCATTATTGTGTAAAATTGTTCTCATTACTATTAAAATATATTTTGATAACAACCACTTATACAAATTATCTTATATAGTTACTTAAATATCAAATTTCACATAACAATGAATTGTGGAAAAAATTTATCTCTGATATGAGCCATTCATTTGTCAATCGATTAACTTCACAAAACAAAAAATAGAAAAAATGGATAAAGTAATATGCATTGTTGTATCATTCATTATTTACAACAATACAAAGTTTTGTTATTAAATAGTGTTAAGCCTAATTATTAAAGACATTTATTTTAAATATAAAAAGTTGAGAACCAATAAAGAACTTTGGTATTAAAATTTAAAAATACTTTAAAAATGGTGTTAATCGCTTTGGCATGTAAACAGCTCATATGATGTCTATATATATATATATTAATAAATTATAACAAAAATAATTAATATATATTATAATAACGTATATATTAATAGAGAAAGGTATGCATAAATAAATATTTAATAACCTTGTTATAATAGAAAATTCGGAAAGTGAAATATTGTTTGTAATTAATTTATGTACTAGATATAAAATTGTAATTTTTAATAATTACAAATTATTAAATAATTTTAAATAATTAATATAATATAAAATTACAATTTATATAAAATAATTGTATTGAAATATTTGAAATAAGTTTTCGTTTAAATAAGAAATCTTTTAAATATCATAGAAAAAAGGGTCTTCACAATTTTTACTTAGAAATATGAAACTTGTAATAAAAATGTTAATAGTTTCATAAAATTAGTAAACAGATTTTATGTATTCGTTTAATTATGATTGATCTACAAAGTATCATTAAATCTGTGTGACAATTATTTTTAATGATATTTGTAATATATTATTAGGTATAACAATTAATTCGGTACCTTAACATTAAATTCATTGCATCAAAATCGCCTTCTTTTTTTCGTCAGAGTTCGACAGTTGCCTGAAAGACATACCTAAGTCATAGAAAATAATAGAGACTATTTCGAAAACTAATAGTAAAAAGGCACCGAATTAACTGTTATACCTAATATTTTAAAAGAGTTTTGCATATTTTAAATAGGATTATGTGGTAAAAAACCCAAACAATTGCTGAAACCACAAAAGCAAGGTGTATCACTTAAATCATGGATAGAATTTGTCACTCCACTGGCATAGTTAAAAGTAATTTCTTCTCCACTTTCTATATCTCTACATGCAAATAAGCATAATCGTGGCGTAACACTTTCAACTCTGACAGGTACAAGATTAGCATTTGGCTGGCAGCTATGATTACTATATCTTCCAATATTGCCAAAATATTTTGGATCTACACATGTTACAATTACTTGTTCTCCTATATGTTCAAAAACTACAAGAACATAATTCATACTATTGTCATTTTTATTAGCTTCGATCCTGCGCCGTGCTTCATCTATGCCTATTATTTCACCAGCATATTCGCAAATGAATTGCCCTTTTTTTATGAATTTCGTTGTTATAAGACCTAAACCTTTTTTATCAATGTTAATTACTTGAAGACTATTTAATGGACCACGCTGTACCAATCTGTTACCACAATTCTGACTGCATGTACAATAAGGATTACATTCTAGAATTGGTACTGATAATTTTTCTTCAATAATACAATCATTTATATAATTAGCAGAACCACGAGTGCAAGTACACTCTGAGCATTCTAATGTACATGAACAACCTGACGTAAATACAGATTCAAAATCATCCACATTTATACCTGGACCAGGTATGTTATTAGTTACATACATGACACCTGATATATCATGAGTATATTTATCTATACAAAAATCAAGGTCCATGCTTACCATATGTTTATATCAATATAAAATCCAAAGAAAGACGATAAATTCTTCGAGAGTGGTAAAAAAAGAGAGAGAAAGAGAGAGATAGAGAAGCAGCATAAAATAGAAGAGAAAATTATTTTTGAATAAAAATCTTTTTTTACAGTATAGAAATATAGAGATAATATTATTATTTTACTATTCTACACTAACCTTTAAAAGTCCCTGAACCGATGACTTGATAGAAGCTAATGGTATAATTTTATATCCTACATAAATGATAGCAACTACTAAAGACGCTTTACATGTAAATTTTAGTACTTTGCTTGATAACGATAATGGTGGTATACTGAAAAATAAGAGATTTAATATAAATTAAACTTATAGCTTCATATATATTACATTCATAAAATAAAAATTTAAGATTTTAAATTATTATATAATTATGTATACCTCATAAGAGGTGGTATATCAGAAGGTTGAACTTTACACCAATTTTCAACGATGCCTGGTATATGGCCCATGCCAACAACACCTACAACTCTTGCTGGCCCGATACCCTTGGGAATACATTGAGGCATGCAAGCTAATTGAAGAGAATATGTTAAGTAAATATCCCGTTCTTTAACAAATACTTCTTCTATTACTGGAAACTCTCCACTCATTTTAGCAACCATTTCATCCAAATAAGCTTTTTGTTTACAAAGTTCTACATCTTCTTTAGTAATTGGATCCTTCATCTTTATTAAATGCCATACTAATTTTATTGTTTGCCACCAAGATAAAAATCTGACTGCACGATGAATAGTTATATTGATTGGACGATCTCCCATGTGAAACATACAATATGGAACTTTTTTTGCCTAAAGCAGTATTGTATTTATTTAAGATTTAACCTTAGAGATTTTATCTATATAATAATATATAAGTATTCGACAACATACCTCCTCAAAAGCTCTGCGAAACTCACCACCAGGTGCCATTCCAAGTTCTTTAGTGATATGAGCAACCATCTTTAGTAGGAGGATATTTAGTAATCCATTATATAAACCGTACTCTTTAAGAGTACCCCGAATACTTCCTATAAATATATTTAAATAATTGATAATTTATAAAATTCTAGTAGGTCCCATTGTGTAATAGCATAAAAAAGACTTACTAAAACTCAGATATTTAGTATAACGGTACATAACTTGTTCATCGAGCTGTAACATACCAATTCTGGCTCTACACAGTTCAACAACAACTATATGAGGCTGTACAGCTTGTATTATCTGCAATTATAAATAAAGTCTTATATACCTATTTCTATAAAATAAAATAAAATATATAGTTACTGTACCTTTGATACATCATTTTGACTTTCGATACTAAAATGTGCTGTTCCTATTAAATATAGTTTTCCACCATTTGGTGTTTTAAGTAATGTTACAGTTTCTGGTAATTGATTATCAATATCATCATTATACTCTTTTACGGATGGATTAACAGATCCTCTTTGATTGTCGCTATTTTCAATAGCTGGATCTATATTGGACGTATTACATTCTGAAATAGTTTGACATTGAATGTAGAAAATATTAAAACTAATCATTATATATTTTTAAATTTTTCCAAAGATGAATCTCCATTATACACTAACAAAATTACCTTGATATTTTTTTATTTTTCGTTTATTTCTATAATATGATGGCATCTTGAATTCACTAATTTACAATTATATTAATGATTACGGTTCCATCTATCAACTAAAGTAGTAATAGTTGGAATGTGAAATGATTAATTGAATTAAAGAAGCCTTGTTCCTTTGAAACCTTAAAATACTACTTATCTCAAATAACTGTTTAAAGAATTTGCCAACATAACCATTAAATATATTTTACTATATTTAATATATACAAATAATAGAATAAAATTTAGAAACCAAAGATAATATATTATTATTATTTTTTATAATGTTATTCATGCAATGTTACAATATAGTTTTAATTAAAATAATCATACTAACCATTTGAATCACTGTTAACAACTACATCACTGTCTGAACTTTCAATATTTGTTCTATTATTGTTATGAGTAGAATTAATATTCATTGGTTCACTAGTGTTTGTCAAAGTAGAAGATTTCATCGCAGAGTCTTGGCTTGTTATATCAGCTTTTTCTGATTCAATTAAGAGTAACTCCTTGGTAATACTCTTAACATTAGGCAAAGGCTGAACTCCAATTTCTTCTTTTTTATTTATATCAACATGTTTATCTTTTACAGATGATACTAAATCTTTTTGTTCATCTTTTGCCAAAGTTTCAACAAACTTACCAATTTCTGATGTCATCCTGTACTGGTAATTGAAGTTAATCTAATTAAAAAATAGTACTAATTGTTGAATCTTATTATTGACAAGATGTCATTAAAATAAATTTTCCTTTATACATACGTAAAAAGGATAAAGTAGAATATAATTGTACAAAATATTTGTGTCATTAAAAAAAAAATCAATAAATATATATTATTATTTATTATATAAAATAATCAAAATAGATACGTGTAATTTATCAAATTGTTTATTAATGCACAAATATTTTACACTGTAAAATATTTAGTGAGCTTTAAATGTATACGTAATATAACACGATATTTTGTTATGTTGAATATTAACAATTTTTCTTCATTAAACAATGTAAGAACACGAAGCTAATTAAAATGTTTAAAAAATAATAAAAGCAACATTCTTAAATAATCTTTGAAAATCTATTGTTACAGTTATAGCATTAAATGTCCTATATAAATATTGCAATACTGTTATAAAATATGTTAACCTAAAAATCTTCTGACATCTGTTTAATTATTTTTCATAAATGAAAGAACGTATTCATTATTTTATAACTACAAAATGTATAATTAAACGTCCTCGTATAAATATATGTATTTAATAACACTAAATCGTAAATAATTAATTTTTTCTATTGTTTGAGACAAATTTGACTAAAGCTAAATACCTGTTCAATGTACACTACATATGTATATAAGAACAATACATAACCTTAATCTTTCAATAAATAAAGAAAACCAACGCATCGAAACTTTGAATGCATTTGCTATATCTATATACCTAACTAAGTGCAAATCGTTTTTATTAAATAAAATAATTACAACGAATGATGTTTAAACAAACAAATTATATCCAATTAAAGGGAAAAATGAAGTATAAGATATATGTTAAATTGATATAATGCAATGAATTAAATTTTAAATAAATAGGAGTAAATATGAAATTATAGCGACAGGGATTAGATTCTTCAACAGGATTTAATTTGTATATAAGTTTTAAACATATATGTATTTATTATTTAATTTTTGTGATCCACACATTCACACAATTCTTAGAGTTCTTTATATCTCACACATAATAAGTTGTCATTTCAAGCAACATTCAGTAAAAATAATCTTATTTAAGCAGTAATGAATGATTCTTGTTTTGTGCAACTTTGAAGGTATCAAAATATTTTCTATATGTCATAAGAGAAAAACAGTTTCCTTGTTTTTCTTGTTTTCAGTTTTTATTCCGTAATTTTCTTTCTTTTCATGCCCTCTTTTAACAACACAGCAAATTCCTTCACGTTTTTAAATTGGAAAAGTTTTTAAGGCCATTTTACTTATTTCGCAACGAAGGAAACAGTATTGATTTTGATCATGTATTAGCTTAATCGCAAAAAGGCTATATTTAATAATATCTTTTAACTTCAAACATAAAAATGCAAAATCATTTCAATATTGAAACAGCCTAAGAGAGATATATGACAGTGCATAAGATGTTAGTATTTCTATTTTATACTTTGATATATTTTTAACAGAATACTGTGAAATGAAATAGTATATTGATATATATTCTTTTTCCATTTTGTATAATAGATTATATTTACTGATGCACTTCTTTATATCTCCATAGACATGTTACATCTTTCATGTTTATAATAATGGAAATAGAAATTTTTGATAAAGCAGTTCTCACAATAGTTACACATAAGTATCTATGGTATAAGTATCTATAAGTTTTATATTTATAAGCTCATAATTATAGAAATATTTGTTCTTTCCACTTGCATAAATATTTTATGCACAATCTATCATCGATGTACTGCATGTAATACTCAATCCCTGTTTCATAGCTTATGTCTAGAAAGTTTGACTAGTTATGTATTGATTCTATACAATAAATAGATATACCTTATTTTTATTCATACTATTATCCAAATACTGCAATATAATATTAAACTCCATATTTAGTACCTTTTAGTTATCAACATAAGTATGATAAATTAGAACTTGGAAGATATATTCGTATGAAAAGTCTGCAATTATTTATAATATTATAGTTCATTATAATAATATAATTTTCTGCTTTCATTGAAACAATTATTTTTCCCATGATTATTAGAAAAAAAAGCTTAATCATGTTTTTCTAACTTTAATTTATAATAAAAGATTATCATGCAATTTAAACAAATTTCAAAGAAAAATGCCTTTATGTTTTTGGATTAATCGGTTTGATAAATTGCAGAATTATTTATATAATTATGATATGGTAAAAAAATGCTTAAATATGTTTCTTCTTTTATAAAATAAAGGCACCATGTTCAGCCAAACATCTAGTTTGTTTTTAAAAGTATGTATCTTTGCGTGTTAACAGTGCTTGAAAGTTAATCAAAATAAAGTTTGTTTTCTCTCATAATAAATTAAATTTTCTAAGTATCATTCATTGCATGATAAGCCACGCATAAACCCATATTATTTGATTATAGGTGAAAAAAGTCGTTTTACATATAAAATAGTAACTACCAATACTTATAAGAAAATGTTCATAAAACTTGGCAAGTATTAACACCATTATTTTATACATATTATTATACAGGATACATTATAATGCACTTAGTGTGTATAGTAATGTTCTTCATGAATGTTGCAGTAAGAGAATATTTTTCAAAATTTCAGCCCTTTTTAATATTCGTGTAGTAAAAAAACAAAAAAGAAGAAATGACACACACATAGAATAGTTGAAAATAAATATCCAGGAAACTTAATTTAATTATTTATCTCTTTTCTATAAAAGATAATAAAGAATAATCAATGAAAAAAAGGTAATTTACATAAATTAATTTCTGAAAATATGTAACTGAAAAAATGTTTTCTTTAAATAATTAAATAAAAGTAATAAAAATTTCATAAGAATCGTTAATTAAATTAATAGAAATATTATTGTCTATCTCATCCAGCTGTATATATATTAAATAATACTAAAGATGGATGGATATAAAGTTTTATCATTAATATGTCGCACAATATTTGCAGACAATAATTTTCACTGGATTTTTAAAAAATTTTTATGAACTTTGTGCGAAACAAAATAAGAAAATACCGTAATAAAAAGGAATGCAATAAAAAACAAATCATTAAAATAATAATCTTTTAACTTTTTGTTATAACATTAAATAGTACCAATTATACCTATATATACATAATATATAATGATCTTTTTTTCCTTTTATATAATTTTCGATGCTCATGAAATAATTTAGAACAAAAATGCATATACAAAAGTTCATTATATTTTAAAATAATGTTTCTAACTAACAAAGATATATTAAGTTTTGAAATTTTTCAAGATAATTAACATAGTATTGAAAAATTATATAATTTCTTATTATATCATAATTGAAATAAAATAAAATTTATTTGAAAAAAAAAAACGAAATTAAAAGAAAAGTCATTAATGCAAAGCTGTATAAAAACAAAGACCCATTGGTTTAACAAAAAAAATTACATTAAAAATTTTTAAGCACTTTACCAATAATAATGTTGATTACTTAATAAATAGTAAGCATTATTTTTGTACTTATATACCCTCTTGTATGTGTATGCTAAGTCAATATATCATTTATAATAACAAATATGATCTATTTTCCAATATATGAAAGCAGTATAGATTAAACCTGTTATTTGATAAAAATAAAAATCATACTACATAGAGAAAATATTTGGAATTGTTCGTTTATCTTAATTTATCTCTTCAAAATAATACGTAAACAAGCAAAATATAACATCAATTTCAAAATACTATAATCCCTCCATTTACGCGGGTAATTGATTGCACGAAAACAGCGTGTAAATGAAAACCACATAAATAGAACTATATACTATAGAATATTGTCTCGACAATATTAAAATTGATTTCTAAAATTATTAGAGTTTTTGCTCTTTTCTTAATCATTTTATAGTATCCCTTGTTAATGCCATTATTTATTGATCTCACGATTTTTTTATTACATTACAAATGTTCACTATACAACTGCAAATAAGTTTACGCAATTACGAAATAAATTGGATTGAACAATCTTCAAATTTGTGTTTTCACATAAGGTATTGTAGTGAAATCTGGGCTTTAATAGCTCAAGAGCGTTCAAGTCAATTCGTGTAAATGGAGGGATTACTGTACTCGCTTATAGCTATTATTCTATCATACAGCAAAAAGACACTTGTGTGTCGACAAATACAAAACATATATTTACTGACATTTATCTTAACTATAATTTCAAATAATTTAAATGCATAAAATGTTTGTAGACACTAATAGTGTCCTTTCATTGCGTTTTGTAGTTAAACAAAGTCCAACAGACACGTACTTTCTTACAAGCCAAGTAATTGATATACATATACATATATATGTATATATAAATATATATACATATACATTTGATACCACATTCTATTCTTTCAGTAAATTAAAACGACGTTGCTCTGTTTCATCTACACTTATCGGCATTTTGTACTATTCGTTTAAATATACCAAGAGAATGTGAATGGGTTTTAATAGATATCTTTCAACAAAATCTTAATGCTCGATGTACAATTAATAAATCGCATTAAAAAATATGCATATTAGGACATATCTAAAACATGTATGTATGTTTATACTATCTTAATTATCTAATTTACTCCTCTTCCTGTAGGAATATTTTGACAACACCATCGATAGGGCGGATTTCGTGAATCGTAGATGATTACTCAAAAAACTGTGCATAGTGGATTTTCATCCATATAATAATCTACTTCTCATAATCTTTTATTTCCATGCACTTTTTTTTCATAGTTTGAAGTTACTCGATTGAACTTGATTGATTCAGTTTTCTTTGAATAAAAATAAATTGAAAGTAACTTGTTTTAATTAATTATTTAACATGCATTCAATATATTCGATATACTTGTTTCAATATAGCAGATCATATCGGCTATTTAAAAATTATTCATTTTTACAAAATTTTATATATCATTAATAAATAAGATTAATTCTTTGCCTTAAAATATTCATGAATAGCGACATATTATATAACTTCTATCATAAGCTATTTTTATACTTCTCATTGTAGGTTTATATTCTTTATAGAAAACTGGATCGAGCAAGTTTGACATATGCTAAAAGGACATGATAAATTCATGGTCCCATTCATTTAGTGTTTCGACTAGATTTTGTAAATTAACAAACTAAACATTTTTTTTAAATAATAAGTTAAACTTGTCACTATAATCATATAAGACAAGATTTTGTTCTTATTTCTTTACATATTTCTATATCACTTATCGTTAATAAATTTACTTGAATTGTATACAATATGAATATTATGCAAAAATCTTAGTTGTCTGACATTCTGTTAAATTATGATTTATTCTTATATAAAATAATTCGCGGGACTAGTATGTCTCAATAGGCCTGCATGCTTTCGTGCTAAATACTTCAAAATCTTCATCTTTAATGAGATTATGAGATTATGACGTCTATTCTAAATTAAATTGCACGCCATAATTTAAAGTATAATCTCTTTTTATCGTCTATCTTTTTACTCACGAATTTAAGAGCGTAGGCACGCAGTTAGCTCAACTTAATACGTTTAGGTTGACCTGTATTAGATGTATCTGAAAGAAATCATTTATTATCCAAAAGTTTATATAATTACAAATTTATACAATTCTAAATAAAGACTTACCGCCATTAGAGGTTGCACCAAAATTATTAATTATTGGACAATTTTGACTTTTCTGTAATAAATTTAATAGCATTTATTTCAAGAAAAATAATCTTGAATATCTATAAATTTATTTGTTTTTTTTTTAAATTATTTCTAGTACTTACATCACCCATTACCGCAATAGGTGTTGTTCCAGTAGCTATAGCAACTTGATGTTCAATTAAATAAAACATATATTCATCATATAACAATCTAATAAGATGAAAAGAACCAAAGCTGGCAGCACTTCTAAGAGTAAGATCACGAATAACCATTGAGCTATAGAAAGACCATTTGAGTAGAAATTGGCGCGCAGCTTTGGCAAAAGTAGGTTTCTCTTCAAAAGGTTTGAGTACTTGCGTTACAACACTTTTTAACCATATTGCCCAATCTTCTAATGAATTTTGTTGCTGTAATGTCACTTTAAAATCTGCCTCCAAACGTTGCACCATACCATAATCACATTGACATACCCAAGATGCCTAATAAAACGATATTAATAATTCTTAACATAATAAAGATATAACAAATATTTTAAAATATTACGTAATATATAATATTTACCTGTTCTTGTACATTATGAAAATCAACTCGATTAAGATCTGCTAACATTTGATTTATTTGATTAGAATTTTGAAGTACTGCTCGTGCAGCTTGAGCGAGATGGTTTAATGATGTATATCGCCTTAATGTTTGAGCAAAAGCAGAAACGGCTGTTAACTGAAAAATCATTTATTTTTATAATTTATAATTAATATATTAATTATATTTATTGGATCATTTTGAATTTTAAAAAGAAATCAAAGATAACTATTAGCATTTCTTTTAATACCTTAATTTGAGTCATTTCTTCGGGACAATCAGCCATGGCGGAAATTAACCATGATTCTAATCCTTTTGCAAAATTTCGAATAGACTGTGTTAGAGTACCTTAACAAAACGAAATAATTGTTAATGCAATAAAACATATAATTGAATATAGAATGAAAAGATAAAAGTTTCTAATAACATACTTGGTATTGGTCTTAGTACATTTGGCATTAGTACTTCCACTAAGTTTTGATAAAATGTATAATCTACTTTTCTGATAAAATCTTGGACTTCAGAGCACTTACACATTTGATATAATTTGGTCCTGTAGGTAAAGAAAGAGTATATTATTAAATCATTTCAACAAATTATATGGATATATTGTAAACTACTTTTTTTTACTATTATTTTCCATCAATTCGTGTTATCTATCAAATGTTAACTACTTACTTTGATAAATATTTTTCTTCTTCACACTCATCTCCATTATTATTATCTTGACTACGCCAAAATTCTCTCCAAAGACTTTCAACAGTTGGAAATTCAAAATTTAGGACAGCATCTAAAAATGCCTCACAATGTTCTCTATATATGCTACGAAAGGTATCTATATCTTCCAATGTACAGTCTTCGGGTAAAGAGGAACCATGTCCAACAAGTATTTCTGGAAATTCAGGTATTGCACCACTTGCTTCGCCAAGATATTGATGATATTGTGGTGGAGAGGTATTAGAAGAAATATTTGTATTTGAATGTGTATTGCTTTCATATGCTTGATCTGGCTTCTGATTGACAAATTTAAATCGTTTAGTTTGAGAATTTGTAGTTTGCTGCTGACGTGATGTACCATCTTCATTCAACATAACCAAAGGAGAACTGGGTTTAACCCGGATTCCGTAGTAGTGATATTTAGAATTCCCTCTAAGAATATTCATTAAAAAAATGTCATATTACAAAACATACATTTATGTTATTTATAAAACAAAGATATTTTTAAAAGATATCTCACCGAGTACCTAACCGCCTTGTTCTTAAGCCCAAGAACACGGATCTTATTAGTTTTCCAAAACTCGCAGCATTTACTGGATCTAGTTTGTTTTCTGAACAATGGCGTAAGTAATGATTGTAAAGTGTAGATCTTGGAAGAGAGACACCATCTGCAGTTTCATAATTTCCCACCAGCCAATGAACCTGTTATTTGTAAATTATTAGTATATACAAAGCATAAGGAATATATTTATAGTACATTTGAGGATAAACATTTAGATAATCTAAGATAATAGAAATAAACGATACATTATATACAAATAGAAAAAAGAAAATAATACAAATATCAAAATTTGTTTGATTATGTAACTGTTTGAGTATCGCTGTGGGTCTTTACGAAAATTCGATCAAAAAATATCAAATGGCACGATAATGCTTGTTTCATTCTATATCGAAAAATGTCGTACAGCGTTATAACGCTCTGCTATACTATAAGAAAATACACTAACGTGCAGTTACTTTCAACTACCACAGTCTGATGCATTGGTACTTTAGTTAACTGTGTATACTTTTATAGTTTGAGGATTCTTAACATTGTTATCATTCTACATTTTTATCTATTTCAAATCATAATGCCGATCAAGCGTTACATTTACCTTTTTGCTTTAATAAGAGTAATACTTAATTATAATTATAATATCCTATGTTACATTTAATACTACAATAAAATAATAAGGAATATAAAATTATTAGTTTAAAGCAAAAGCACCCTTTGTATGGCAATAGCAAATACATGCTTAATATAACATAATTATACATAAGAAAGCTAAGACTTAAGGAGTCAATAGAGCTTACTGTGGCTTGGGAGACCCTAGTGGCATGCGTCATATTTGCTGCTGCAGCTGCTGCTTCTTCCACGGTAACAGCAGCACTTCCTGAATTACCAGTGATCAAGTATGCCCCGCCACCCCCGCTAACCACAGCCTCCTATCAAACAACCCAACATTCTGACTATTTGATAAATGCCCAAATTAAGGGCATCAGAAATATTAATTTTATCTAAAATCTTATACTTCATATAAATCAAATACATAAACATAATATTTAAAAGAATTTTGTTTGTTGTTATACATCGTTTACAGTATAATATTTATACTGTAATGTTATATAATATTTTGATTACAAAATAAAAAAAATTACTTATTTCAATTATAAGAAGATATATTTTATATCAACTGTCTAATCAATGAATACTTGTTGATTTTTTTTAAATATTGTTCAAACCCTGCAACCATGCAGAGTATGTATATACCCTCCGCATGCTTTTAGAAATATGATACAGAAATTTGTTAAGTAGCAATAATCATTCAATATATCATAAAATTGTACTTAATTTACAAGAAAAAATAAAAGCAGTCAGAGAAGATAATATTGACATGCATTAATTAAAACCTTACCGCATTTTCAGTTTGTGGACTAGCTCGAGCAGCAGCAGCTGCAGCAGATATGAGTGTATGTGTTGTTGGATCACCATCTACAACGCTTTGCTGGATTAAGTAAGTGCCATTGCCCTGAGATAATAATTGTCCAGTAGTAGTATTTGATCCTTGTGCTGTGACCTAAGTACACACATTTTATATTCTTAATACTTAATAAATAAATTTATAAAAAAATAAATATAATAAAGTATAAACCTGTGCATATGTTACTGGTGTTGAGGCTGGAGTATAATATTGACTTGAGGCAGGCGTATACATTGCACCAGCCTCTCCTACAGCATATACTGGATATGTCCTATAAAAATATAAGATATAAAACAAAACTTGTGCATACAAAGCAAATATAAGAATATGTCTTAATTATTACATCTGACTATTTGCCGGTATGTACGTAGAACCATCCCCCTCAACATATTGAACATAGGTTGGATGGGATACTGATTCGGACCCCACCGCTTCTGCTTCTCCAGATACTGAAACAAACAACATGTTGATATTTTAAGAACAATCTATTAAGAATAATGTCTCTGTATAGATTTGTAAGATATTTTATTAATTATAATTTTGAATTATTCACTAATTATACTTATACTAATTGTTATAATACAAGAAATAAACAAATGATTGATCAAAAACTTCACAAACACATAAAATATTAAGCATAAAAATTAATTCGGTGCCTTTTTTTAAACAAATTATTTTTGTTTGAATTCAAATTTCTTACCGTCTTTGATGCCATCTAAAAGAGCATTCTTCAATAGATCGTACAAGACTAGAAAATAATGGTTAATATTTCAAAATATAATCCTGTACCTAGTATTTGTAACAAAATCTCAAAGTTAAGAAAAAAAGGCACTAAATTAATTTCTACATCTAATAATATATTATTTATTAGTATAAAAATATTTTGAACCAGGGTAAAAGGCATGGTGATCGTAACTGCCCTCACCTACTGTTGTTGTGAGGGATGCGTAGGATGGTGAATCACTGGTGTCTAATGTGGTCAGAGTAGAACAGAAGGCATATTTTTCAGCAGCATGGAAAGGGTCAAATGTCTACTCAAGTTCTATATCTTTTCAAATTAATCCATCTACTTTATAGCATGCATTATTGTGATCAATCCTTTGTTATACATTTAAATTCATTAAATCTCTTTGATACAATTAAATTATATCCACATTGTGGACTTTTCCGTGATGATACTAAATTATAGTAATATACCAAATCAATTTATAAAATCATATATCAAGGATATAAAAAAGGAATGTCAATGTGCTTTTATATAATAATACATGCTAAATAAGAAGTATCGTATTCTATAAGTACCTGTAACAGTTATGTAGTGAGGAGAACCACTAACAATAGCGCCAGTAGAAGTGGATGCAGCGTCACTATCAACAAATGTATGCTGACCAGAATGAGTAGTATTTACCACTACTTGTGCTGTAACATGTGCTGGGGTACCTGTTGAGCCATTGGAAGAATCTGCAGCTGTTTCGAGAGGATCCTGAACCAACAACTAAAGTATTATTTATAGTATGCATGTTCTCAAGACCAACTGGTATTTTTAAATATAAAAATCAAAGTATTGAAAATAGCACATTAGCATTAATATATGATACAATTTAAGCATAGAAAATGTTATTAATTAATATTAAAATAATTATTACCAACATTTAACTCTGCTAATATGTTCTCTATCAAACATAATGATTTTCACTCTTTAAAAGTAGAAAATTATAATTAAAAAAAATTTAGAATTTGATATAATATAGAATAATGAGCGTAATGTTATGTACCTGAATGGGTTGTAAATTACTTGGGCTTGACGGATCAGGACTGGTAACAACAGTGATTAGCTGTTGTCCTCTGGTAGACTGAGTTTGAGCTACGTTAGCACCACCACTGGAACTGGAAGTAGTCACGACAACAACACTTGGTTTAGGCTCCACCCCCACCGTAGTAGAGCTACCCCCACTGCCATTAGCTCCGGTGGATGCTGTGAGGGCATACTGGGCTCCTGTCGTAGTCATGGCAATTGATGCTACACTTCCCTCTGCACCCACCGTATCACCACCACCACAGCCTCCCTATTCCTGAAGAGATGAGCCTACGACATCAATGTACATGATATTCTCCCTTTTAAATGTCAATAATATCCAACTTACTCAATATAGAAACACTTAAGATAATCTATTACTTCTTTGTAGCAATTCTAATCATATGGTAACAATATACACATAAATATATGTATATATACATTTATACTTGCAATATTTCATTTGAGACTTTAGTTTACATTCACACACACACACACACACACATGGTGTAATGTAATATAAATTATTTAAAGATTAATGCACAATTAGGAAATAGATTACATGAATAATTAACAAAATATTTAAGTATATTATTGCATTTAAAAACTTGTTTCACATGAATTGTAAAAGAATTTATAATTAAACAATTCATTAAGGGTACAGAAACGGTGAAAATGATAAAATTATATATTAAATATAAATATAAAAAACTTATACTTGTTTTTATTATTAATATAATAAAGTAATTCTTATATGTATATATAATTAAAGATACCTTTTATATAAAGAGAGGATCTTTAATAGAGACAATTGTACACGAACTCGTCATTCTAACCTATGTGGTACAACAATAATTCTTAATATCTTTTTCGTTTTTTTACAGGTGTATCCCAGATAATCCTAACATCAAAAGGAAGCCCTGAAAAGCTTGCAATATGAACAGGACACGTCATTTCTATTATAACGTATACACGGTAAAATATATCGGTAACGCGTACCTGTTGGGGGAGCAGGTACCAAACACAAAGTATCAAGGGGAAGAAAATAGGGGGAGTAGAAATAAAATGCACTGTACGCGTGACTGAACAGACGATCTACGTTAAAAGTATTGAATCTATCAGAGGAAAGGTTTGCATCATGGAAGTAATTAGAGAGCATTATCCTGATAGATTTCACTCTTCACTTATTTCAACATAGATTAAAAGTAATAGATTAAAAGTACTTTTTATATATACAATAAGTTTTTCAATGAAACATTATGAATGTTTCTATTGACTAAGTAATATTGAAACATGGTTTTTTTATTAACCAATGTTACATAAAGAAGTATAAGATTGTTATATTTATTATAAATTAATGAGATCTATATCGTTCATATATTTGAGTTCTATTACAAAAAAATATTACAGATTTTTTAAATTATTGAATATAATGATACGATTGGTGATCTCCTTTCTAATAAAAACATTTTCAAATATTTTGTTTATCAGAATTATACCATTAATTTGCTAACATACAAGTAATAAGAGAACGCAATGGAACAATTTATCTTTGAGTTTATCTACATTAATATCATAATATTTAAGATTAATAGCGAAAAGAAGATAGATAAATATTAGTTTTATATTTAAATTAATAGTTTTGTATATGGTAATGACATTTAAAATTAAAATAAATTTTATAGGTACAATTCATGAAAATAAAAAATAAAAAACTATTAATATTGAATCTTTTTAATAATTATACTGTTATCCGTAAATAAATTTGTATGGGATTATAAATAAAATTTCATATAATATTAAGACTGAAATCTTGCAAAGTTGACAAAACGAGCGTGAACGTAAATCCGCAAAAGCATGTTTAGCCGGCAATTAAAGTAACCGCGAAATATTAGATGACAAGTTGAAAATATTGTGCTTAGAAGAACAGGAAGCATAGAGGACCGACTTTATCTCTCATTTAGCTCACTTGTCTTCATGAATGGCGTAAACTTTCAATCACAACGCCCGGACGCACTTGCGCGACCGAACGTATTCTATTACGTGCTCGAGATGACTTTTTTTTTTGAGGAAGAGAACTGTACCTGTCGCTCCACAGAACTGCACAGACGGTGAAGGCACCAAAGAGAAGAAAAAATCGGAGTGTTACACTCCGACGAAATTTGTATATTTGTTGTCTGATGGTTGGAGTTTCGGTTGTCTGCTACTGCGGTCGCCTTGGCTACGGCATCACTGACCGCGTCATGACCAGGAGCGTAACTGTCATTTTTTTATCCCTTCATCTTTTTCTTTTTTATATTTTTTAAATACTATCCTAATCAAAAAGAGATTATAATCAGGAAAGTTAACAATTTTTTTTAGTTAATTAATCTTATTATATTATGTAGTATAGATCGACCTTCAAATTTTTTATTGTGTATGATACTATATCAATTGATTATCCGACAAATAAACTAACGATTAACGTATTAATTAATTGACTAATATACAACTTATCTTAACACATATGTTTTTTTCCATTTGTATTATAATTATATTAGTATTAAATTTTTAAAGACAAACGACTATTTTATTCACCATATATTTAATCTTCATTTGATAACATTTAAATCGGGTTCTTAATTTTTCTTAAGCCGATAGTGAGATAACTGCACGCATGCTCAGTTCTTATCGCGCTAGTCGATCGAGGAGTTGCTCGATTTTACTTGAACCCGTCAAACCTACAACCTAAAATCTGCCTTTGTGCACTATTATTTTTTATATATATCACACATTATAATTTCAATTAATGAAATTTGATATTAAGATAACTTTCATTACGAATTTGTAATATTTCGAACTATATATGCGTACATGCTTACACATTGCAAAAATAATCTTTTTTCGTATGAAGCAAGCATATATATAATATATATATATATATATATATATATATATATA